TGTTTTGCATTTAATTGAAAATTGTAGAATTTCTGCTTAAGTGTCAAATAACGATATGCTACTGTAGGAACTGATTCATATTGTATTTATTTACATTGTTATTATGTATTTATAAAGTGTCACGTAACGCGTTCATAGTATAGTATCGAAATTGACAATCGATCACGCAGTAATATTGGTTCTGTTAACGATAAGAGAACGAGATCAATGTGCAACATCTTGCAGAAAACTATTTACTGTTATCAGCAAGCTCTACTGGTTTCTTTCGTTGTCAAGGCTGCAAACTTTCCATATGTTTCTTCGTCCGTTCATGTTTTGCCTCCTTACAGACCCTGCATATGCAATTCGTTTTAATAATGAGCTTCCTTTCTATTTGAAGAATAGAAGATAATTTCGATAAGTGTACACGGAAAACGTGTGAACAAAAATACATTTACAGTAATGTCTCCCTTACCAACGCTCAGATTGTCCACTAAAATGGATAATTTGGGAAGAGGAGATACGATTATTCGAGTCTTGCGGCTCGTTTTTATAATTGTGGACAATTTATAACTATAAAAATAAACCGCGAGGCTCGAATAATCGTATCTGCTCTTTCCAAATTGTCCATTTTTGTAGACAATCTGGGCGTCAATTAGAGAGACATTACTGTATTTCGGTAGTGCAATAAATCAAACTATATTCTTACGATATAAAAGTGCAAAAATAATATTAAGTTCGTTTTATATAAGTTATTTATTTATTGATTGTTGGTTCACAGTTCAATGTTTGAGCGATGGAATTATTTTGTCACACTTGAACATTCGTTTTTACGTTGATAACAGATCGAGTGTTCTTTCGTCTAAAAAATACAAGAATATTGAAAGCCTAATTAATACCAGAAATATGTCAAATATCGTTTTATTAAAAAATGTTTAGCGAATACAGCGGGTGTCGCGTTAAAGGGTTCTCAGGGCCGTCTATTTGGCTGGTATCCATACGTGGTATCCCCCAGGGTCAATAATCAACACATTTCCACTGGCGCGCGCGCGCTATCATTAGTACTACTTATGTCCTTACCGCCACGCACTGTCTACAGAATTATGTGACAATCCTAGCCTAATGGTTGTTGAAACTTCCACCATTACCCTTGACAACGGAGGTATAGCTAGACATATCGCAGCTACGTATATTTCTCCGGAGTATTCAACGATGGCTGAGGCAGATATGGGTGTAATCAAGATAGAAGTCCTCCAAATTAATCTCGGATTAGTCTTTCGGTTCGAAAGTTTGTCCATTCTTAATAATTAGACCGCGAAGCCTTATGGAAAATAAAAATGTCCTGAATCAATTGTGTAACGAACAATTGTTAAATCAACATCTGTTTGTCCTCTCACTAATTACAACGAGTTCATCATTATGATACAAAGGGCTATATATTGACATGGATTTTTAGATGTGTTAGATCTAATAAGAAGATCGACGAATCTTAGTATTCGATCATGTTCAGAACGTTTGCGAACATAACGCGTCAAATGTGACGGATGATTGTTTAGGATCTGGAGTTGGTAGAAATTAGTAGTCACAGCCTGATTATTATTAACATAGAAAATGACACTAAGAATATAAATAGCGATACAAAATAAATAATGAAGTAATGAACGGTATAAACAGTATGAATAAAGTACTGTTGAAATTAGTACTGCATTGTTTTCTTAACGAACTCTAGGCTGTCGTAGATACTTGTAAATATGTCAGGTGCGCCGCGTGCACAGGGAACTCCTCGCGACGCGACACCAACGATTTCATTGTTGTACACCAGCGGATCGCCACTATCCCCCTGGAACAAACAGTAACAGAGTTCGTCGTTCATTTTATCGTTCAATATCACTACTTTGTTATTGTCGAAGGAATAATAAAATTCTTTCGATACCGGCTGAATACACACTCGCACACTCGATACACATTGAGCAATAATTGGCCACAGTCTTTTGAGCAATAACTTCTCATTATCTCGTACAAGTGGTAGCAGATTCGCTTCTGTACGCTATCGGTATAATAAACGGGCTTGATTTATACTTACCGTGCACGTGCCTACATTGGCACCATTCAGAGTGCAGATCTCGCTGATAATGAAACCGGAAGTAGCTCTGCAGGTTTCGGTATCGATTACTTTCAGAGACAAATATTGTTGCGAATTAGACATGGCTGTCGGGGGAACAGATGTACCACCCCATCCGACCACCGTGGCATAGACAAATGCTGGTGTCCTACTGCTGGGAAATGCGATCGGCTGTTGGTTCGCATTGAAGTTGATACGATCCGCAAGCTGTAACATTTGATATTTAAAATGAAGTGATTTTACAAAAAATTCATTCTTCTTTGTTCTGTAACTTTCAGGTGTAATTTATGTGCGAACACTACTTTGAAGCTCGAGCAATGTATGAACAGTTTTTTCTTTTTTTTTAAGAATATTTGAATACATTAAAACATGGCGCGACAGCGAGACAAAAAGGTTTTAAGATTTTCTCGATAACTACTAGACCGCAGATCTTCGTGCAAAATAAATGTCCGCATCGTTTGCGAAAAGCAGCAGCCAAATAGATAATTGTTTCGATTAAATTTCGTTCACTCATTTTTGCGGATGTCTCGCATCGATGACAAAAATAAATAGACGAAATAGAAACCAGTAAAGACTTTAGAACAATTTACAAATACTGTTATATCATTTGTTATGTACTGACATTAGTGAATGAAGAAATCAACGGTTCCGTGAAGCTTTCTTTGAACGGACTATAGAAAGAGATATGAAAAGATTCGATAACCATTAAATTGATTAGATTTTAACACAAAACCTAACGAGCTTTCAAAGTAACTGATAGCTTTGTGTGAAAGCAACTTGTTGCTTTATATATATCAGACTGAACTTATTTTATACTTTTTCTCATTTGTATTACTTTCATTTATTACTTTGATTATTTGTTACTTATTTATTACTTTTTATGCTTGTATTATTTACTATTGAATTTAGAAATTTACTCGATCGTTTTCTATGAGAGAGTCTTTATATAATTTCAACAATTTAAAAATAAAATATATAAAACTGGTCATTTTGACCCCCACGATAGTTTCAGCGTTAAAAAGCATACCTTGATCACGCCGACGTCTTTATCGAGGTAGTCGCTGTAATAGGGATGAGGGTACAAGGCAGCTACGCGATGTGTCTCACCACCCTGATCAAGGTAAATGGTTCCTGTTACAACCACCATGTCTTCCGTTTTGTTGTACGGACTTTGGAGACAATGCGCCGCAGTGAGGACATGGTAATTGCTAATGATAGCACCACCGCAAATCACCTTATTATTCACTTTAATAAACACGGCATAAGGAAACTGGCCGGGCTTTGTGTCTTTACCACTGACCATCCGCTCAGGGTCGTCCGCGTATACTGAAAAAAATCAATCTTTATCCAAGCAAAGTAGAAGTATTGGGTTGGCAACTAAGTAATTGTCGATTTCAGTTATAGATGTCTCTCACTCCCATTTTTATGATATCCGTAAATGTTATATTGTAAAATTATTATTATTATTATTAGTATGTTATTTTTTATTATCCGTGAATGTTAGCAACTGGACAAATTGAATGCAGCGGTCAAGGAAAAGCGACCAGAATTGGTCGATCGTAAAGGTGTCATTTTCCACCAGGACAATGCTAGGCCGCACACGTCTTTGTCCACTTGGCAAAAATTGACGGATATTGGTTGGAAATTGATGTTACACCCACCACATAGCCCTGATCGCGCGCCATCGGATTACCACTTATTTCGATCCCTGGACAACTCCCTTCGTGGTAAAACTTTTAACGATGATGACGCTGTAAAATCTCATTTAACTCAGTTTTTGGCCGAAAAGGATCAGACTTTCTACGAGCGTGGAATTTTCGAGTTGTCAGAGAGATGGCAAAAGGTCATCAAACAAAATGGAAACTACATTACAGATTAAACTTCATTCCAAGTAAACAAAATTTTTTATTTCATTGAACAAATCGGCAATTACTTAGTTGCCAATCCAATATAATAAGATCAAGGTGAAACGAAAAGTAAAAGACGAAATTAAAATCGAAATAAAAAGCGAAATAAAAAGCGAAATGAAATGGAGGACGAAATTCAAATCGAAATCAGAGTGAAATGAAGATGAAGTTGGAAGATGATAAAGAAGAGAGATCAAAGCCAAAGGGAGACGCAGTTCGAAGCATTCGGAAATAAGTTATTTAGTGTACACAGTACTTTTTCACGGAAATGTCAAATTTCGGGTTGCTGTGCTAATTTTCCCTGTGCTAATCCTAAGCCTACATGATCTATTGCTACGACGTGCTAAGGTTCGACGGAGTCGGTCGAGCGTGCGACGCGGTACGCGACACGATTCCCGGAAGACAACAAAAAATGGTCTGTTTGGGCGTGAGTCGGGTAAGAAAAACCGCGGAGCTATGTACGTGACATGTACGTGACCGATCTCCGTCGCATCGTGGTACGTGATCTCCGAATTGCCTTCGAATAGTGGCAAAAAATTAAAAATAAAAAAGTTAAGCCATCGTTTTTATTATAGCACTACTATGTATTCATATTAATGTACACCGGTCGTATTAACCCTTTCGCTGCGGAACGCCTAAAAATGAATTGCTCTCTCAGCAGCCGGCGCGATAGTAGATTGTCTGTACGAACGACACGATACGCGCGACGCTCGTAAGACGGTGTGTGAAACCGATTTTGCTGGTCTTTTCTTTGAGACGACTGGCCGACACGGCAGCCAAACAATAATAGTAATAATAATGATAATAACAATTTTAGTAATTTTTAATAATCTTAAATAATATAGACAATTAATATAATATATTATAACAAAATTTAATAATCGAGCGCCAGAGAAGGCGCTGTTCGCTGAGAGAAAGTGTCTATAGCCGAGCGCCAAAAGG